TATACTAGATCATGTATAAAGGGAGAGGCCGTTTTTACAAGCAGAAAGAGGAATTTAATAAATTGGGCTACTCATAATACATTATTATCTTGCACATATCATCAGTTAAATAGACCATCCATATTGTCTGATAATCTCTCTTATCTATATATTATTTAGTGGTCTCATACACATACAAGGTATGAATATTCAAACCCATGGCCAATCTAGTAATTTGTAGAATAAAACAAAGGGTAAACTTATATTATTGTACGTGACTAAACTTGGCACATTAAGTAGGCAATGTTATTAATTTATCGAGGTTCTACTATATCTCAAGTTTTAATAACAAAAAGAAGAGTAACGGAAGCAATTTAGATATTATTCAAGGGTTGTATTGTCCTTTCTACTTTAGTAGTATCTATAAATCTAATAAGGGATGGGGTGGGGGTGGGGGGAGGGCCCACTAATTTTTATGATTAGTAGGGGTTATTTGCGGATTTTAGTTTTGGGGTCATTAGCAATACACCCCCCATATAGATAAGAAATGGTGATATGTCCACCCCTTAAATCTTTCTTTGTGATAACCCCCTAGAAATTTTATTCCCAAATCTACCCTTATGTCAATTAACATAATTATTCTCAATTATTCCTTTTTTCTCTCTTTCCATAACAATAATCTAATTCCTTCCTTAAAATCTGCTTCCAAATCCCTAAAAATTTGCTACCAAATAAAAAAATGATTTTTTTATTTCTTATTTTTTTATTATTTTCGAATTTTATTTATCCATTATTTATTTATTTATTTTTTTAATATTTTTTTAATATTTTTTTAATAAAAATATATTTTTAATTTTTTTTTTAATTTTTTTCAAATAAAAAATTGAAATTCTTTTCTCGACAGATTTACAAAGCCGAATATGACTATAGTTGAATATGACTATATGTGACTATATTAACTGTAGTCATATTATTTTTTATATTGCAGTTTTTCACTTTTTCAACTTAACAATTCCGATTATATAGTGTGGTATAGACATGGCCACGGGTCGGGTCTGACCCGGACCCGGCCCGGACCCGACCCATTGACTGCCCCGCCCCGCCCCGGCCCCGACCCGTTGACCATGGACCCGGACCCGGACCCGGCCAAGTATGGGTCGGTTTCGGGTCCCGACTTCTTGGACCCGAGACCCGCCGGGTCTACCCGGCGGGTGGACCCGAAGACCCGGACCCGAGGGCCCGGCCCGAGGACCCGTCGGGTCCACCCGGATTTCTGATGAAATAATCACCAAAAATGCAGCTTCTGGGTTTCGAACCCGGGTAACCCGAGTGGATTAGTGAGCACTAACCACTCGGGCAAAGTAACTTATTGCAATATTAATCTTAACTATAAATATATAATTATAAATAATACTATAAAATAATTATAACAATTGAATAACTAATGTTAATAAATTATTAATTGTCAGGTTCGTTATCTTTAATATTAAAAATCTCACCTAATAACAAATACATATATATTTAAAAATCTCCCCCTAATAACAAATGCATATATAAATAATTACGATTTAATTTAAAAGAAAGATTGAATTTTGAAATTTTTTTTAGTTTTGAAATTATGAAACATTTCTCATATTAATTATTATTAAATAATTTTAATTAAATAATTAACAAATGCAATATAAGAAACTTTTAAAAAAATATATAGAATCACGGTTCAATACATCAAAACATCTATTATTAATTACTATATCAATATAATCTCCACTATTGAAAAATATAAAGTATTGAATCAATTCAATATATAAACAAATGCGTTGACTTATTACAAATTAACTTATGTTATTAAAATCGATAGTGTGAAAAAATCGATTGAAAAATAAAATAATATGTTTATTTAAAAAAATAGATTATAACTCATTTCAATTAATTTAAATCGATTTACCTCAATTATTGACAAGAACTTATTAATATTATTGAGGATTTTATTATAAGATAATTATTTAAAAATATAAATGATGTTTGTTTTAACAAAAATAGATTATATCTCATTTCAATTAATATTCTTACTTTAAAAATAACATTATATATGACTAGTATAATCAAAATATTATAATGTGATTTCTCTTTAAATAATTGGTTTAGTTTGTAAAAATCGTAAGAATTAAATCGTAGATCATATGATTTAATCTTTTTTTTTTTACATTTACATTTTATTCAAATATTAGAATCGAATCAAATCGTAAGATTTAAATGGATTAATCTAAAGTCCTTTTAATTTTGATATTATATTTGTTAATAATGTAATTAAAATTATTTAATAATTATGAATATGATAATTAACAATCCATTTAACATTATTTATTAAATCATTTTATACTGTGTTTATATGGTATATTTATATTTCTTGCAAGTAATTTACCAAATATTTATCTTGTCACAGTGGTTCGGATTCCTTTTCAAGTGCGTTACAACCCACGTTCGAACCCCATTTGAAGCATATTTTGGAAAAAGTTTCAAAATCCGGTTCGGACCCGGCCCGACCCGGAACCGACCCGGACCCGGGTGGACCCGAGTGGACCCGCCCCGGACCCGGACCCGCCTCCCCGCGGGTCGGTTTCGGGTCCTCCAAAACTCGGACCCGGACCCGGCGGGTCCGACCCGGACCCGGACCCGACCCGACCCGGGGCCGTGTCTAGTGTGGTATAGTCATGTTCACCAAATTATATAAAACAACGAAGGTTCCTTATTGTTTACGAAAACAATCCAATCAACATCCACACAAAAAAATCACAATTTGAATCTAGTTATTAGACGTCAACTTCAAAACGATAAAATAGAACATATTCGAATATGACTACCGTCGTATTCAACAATAGTCATATTCGAATATGACTACAATCATATTCAAACAATACATAAATATGACTATAGTCATATTCGAATATGACAATAGTCATGTTACTGCTACTGTTCAGATCTGAAAATACAATTTTCAGATCTGAAAAAAAAAAAAAAAAAAAGAGAAATCGAGAAATACATAAATATGACTAGAGTCATATTCGAATATGACTAGTAATGCTACTTCTGTTCAGATCTAGAAAAAAAAATCGAAAAATACATAAATAAAGATAGAAAAATAACGAGAGAGAGGGATGGGAGTTGACGAGGTCTTCATACACAAAATCACCCTGGCATATTTTCACCCCAAACGACCCTCCATACTTCAACATAATCATCAAGGTTGGCGACATGATGTGCAGCACTACAAAAAACATGAGAATATGACTACTATGTGAATAATTCTGCTGAATGAATCTGCACTATTCTTTAAATGCAATTCATATAATATTATGTGAATTCATTTCAGTCACAACAAACACATTAAAACTTACACTAACATATCAAGTAACGCAAAAAAAAAAATTACAATAAGATCACAATTTGAATCATATTATTAAAAGTCAACATGAAACGATAAAATGGAACATATTCGAATATAACTATAATCATATTCAACAATAGTCATATTCGAATATGACTATAATCATATTCAACAATAGTCATATTCGAATATGACTATAGTCATATTACTGTTGTTGTTCAATATGAAACTGTAATACAGATCTGGAAAAATAAAATCAAAAAATACAAAAATAAAAAACACACACACACACAACAATATTTCACATACACATATACAAAACACATACACAGATACATTTCACACACACACAGACCCACATACAAAGAGACCCACATACAAAGTTATGAAGAAATAGTTTCACACATACACATATACAAAACACACACACACAGATACAAAACACACACACACAGATACATTTCACACACACACACAGACCCACATACAAAGTTAAGAAGAAATAGTTCCACACATACACATATACAAAACACACACACACACACACATATACAAAACACACACACACAGAGATACAAAACACACACACGGATACATTTCACACACACTTTTTAGTTGCAATATTTCACACACACATACAAAACACACACACAGACCCACATATCCATACATATACGACAACATGAGTTTTTGGGGAGGTTTGACGGCAGAACCCTAGGCGGCGGCTGTGATCGGTGGTTGGGTGAGTGGATAATGGCGGTGGTGCGAAAAGAAGGGAGGAGGGCGGCGAAGCCGGTAGAAATCTCGAAGGAGAACGGCGGCACTGGTGTAAATCTCGATGGATAGCGGCGGCGGTTGTGCTCTGCAAAGAAAAAAAAACAAAAAAAAAAAAAAGAAGAAGAAAGAGAACAGAGAGAGCTCTGCAAAGAAAAAAAAAAGAAAAAAAAAAGAAGAAGAAAGAGAAGAGAGAGAGAGTAAACGTGAGAGAGTGTGTGTGAAAATGAGGAATAAAATTAAAACCCTAACCCACAGGGGTATTTTAGTCTTACCATATCTGATAAGGGGGTCTCACTAATTTAAATTGGGATTTGGGTTATGGAAAAAGTCTTTAAAGTCAATTGGGTTTAAATCAAAATATTTTCCAAATGAGGGGGGTATTGCATATTTCCCCTTTAGTTTTTATAGCGGGTTACATAAATCCGAAGCTTTCCAACTGAACATAATATTAGCTACTATTCCCTCCTTCCTAAATAATTATCGCTTTTCACTTTTCACAAAAATTAAAAAACTCAATAAATATATCTTGATTTTAGAAAAATTATATAAAAATGACTAAAACAACCTTGAATATTGAATAAGTTATAAGAGAAAATTAATGAATAGAGTTTCATTAATAAGGTTAAAATAGGAAAATGCATTTAATGCAGTATTGGAAATCTTAAGTGACCGATAATATGAAACAAAAATATTTTTAAAAAGAGACAGTTATTGTAGAACATAGGGAGTACTATTTAGTCAATAGGACTTAATAACGGTAACCGAACGAGCCATTAAGGAATTACGTTTGATGGATGCTTTGCCATAAGCCCTGAATAGAAAAATAAAATAGAGGCTTGATGAGAATTAATAAAAAAAAAAAAGTTGACCTTAGCAAATCAACTATTGATGTTATATAGATAGGTTGATCGCAGGAGAATTACATTTTCCGCCCCTCATGTTTTACTTGATTTCACTTTCGGTCCCCATTATTACAAAGTGAACAAAGTACCCCTAAAAAGTTCAACTTTAAACACATCAGTCCTCTCCGTCACTTGTCCGTTCACATCTAACGGAAAACACTATTTTGGGGCAAAAATAAAAAATTAAATTATTTAAGGGTTAAAGAAGAATATATTTTTAACTACTATCTTACTTTTAATACAACATATTATTTAGTACAGAAAGAAAAAAAGTAAATTAAAAAAAAAAAATGCAAATGTCTATATGATCTAACTTAAAGATAAACCAATTCAATGTGTCGAGGCACTAGTGCTTCAAGCTGACGCTTCCCTTTCTTTATTGCAGTTTGTTCGACGTCTCTCGGGCCCTTAAAAATCTCCAATGCACATGTCGGTCCAATAATTAATTTCTCAAGAACAACACATTTCTCCCAAATGTAGTTGACGAATTCAAGATCACGAGGCCGACCATAATATCCACAAAATTTGACGACTTTAAGGTAGTGGTGTGGAGTTATAGCAGCATAGTCGACTTTCGTATGTTTCTTTCGAAGGTACGCCCATCCACACTGCACAAGAGAAGATAATTATTATATTTACGTTGCATATAGTAAGTACTATTATTTTACGCTGCATTTATCGGTTGTATAATAAGACGAGCTACCTCTACAACAAATTCTTCCAAGACAGGGCATGCACTTATCAAACGAGCTAGTCTAATAAGAGTTTCGAAATCTCTCGCGGCGTATTGTATCTCCAACTTTTTTAGTTTAGGCAGTTGAGGAAGCTTGCAGATCTCGTTCGTTTCCTGAAAAAAATCATTTAATTAGTACAGTAGAACCTCGATAAATTAATAACCTCGCTTAAATAATAGTTTTTTCTGGTCCCGACTCGGTAAAAACCAACTAAATTATTAGTTCAATAATTTAATATTTCGCTAAATTAATAGAATTTTGCTAGTCCCGACTGTATTAACTTATAGAGGTTTAACTGTACGTAGAAATCAAGAATCTCTAACCTCTTGACTCAGAAGCATCAAACTAAGAGTCTCCAATTGTGGACAGCGAGAAAGTGCGGTAAATAAGCGTCGCAAGGCAACATCGTTATCTATACAATTAATGTGTAGCTCAACTAGCTTCGGCATATTCTCGATGAACAATTCCTCGTACGTCGCGGCCTTAACATAAGTAAGACTCGGAGCAGAAACTTTAAGCGATTTTAGACCGTTGCAAAAGACTATCTCCAAGTGTTTCAACACGAGGGGCGACGAACCACCACCACCACAAACGCGAGGATTCGACAGCTCCGTAGAGTGACAGACGATCAACTTCTCGAGTAACGGACAGTTGCGCAAAAAGAACTCGATGGCTCCGTCGCTCACATCGACATGACTAAAAATCAATTCTCTGAGGGACTTAAAGTTGATGATAAACGTATGAGAAAGGAGCTCGTCGGGGAAACGATAATACATGAGAGGTTCGTTATAATATATAAGGTCCAACTCCAACCTCTGAACTTGTCGGGAAAGTGCGAATTCAAGCCACCGAGTGATTGATTTTCTGTGTTTTCTGTTTAAACCGAAACTGATCCTGAATTGTTTCAACGTGGGGGCTTTGTGCGATCGGAGGATTCGGTTCACCCAGGTCACGTAATTGCGTCTCTCGTTGTCGACTAACATGTCCCCAGTTGTGGGATGTTTACGACGAATCTTTTTGAAGTCAGTGTATCGATCGAGGTTGAGACACGTGCTGTATTTCCACAAGTTGATCCAACGAGACGAAAGGACGCTCGTGCGCGCACCTTCCTCAACCGAAAGAAAAGACAGGATATGAACGAGGATGTCGTCGGGCAACCGACTTATCCGATCGTCGTCTTTATAATAGCCAGTGTATCTCTTCTTGTCAAACTGATGTCAAATAAGATAATCAAACAAGACACCAATATATATATAATCCACCATAACTAATCAATTCTACTTCTAAATTTGGTTTCTTTTAACAAATTGAAAGGAGAAAAAAAAAAAAACTAGCATCACAGATTGAATAATCATATCAGCATACAAACTTAGGGGTTTAAGTCCGAATCCTTATTAACAAAAATAGCATGATCCAAAAAAAAAAAAAAAAGGCATCATCTTTGTTGAAATCTCACCTCCTTAGCTTGAAGATTGGAATCAGTTCTAACACGCTTCCTACTCATCGAGCCAGAGAAATTCCTCGATTGAATCATCCACAAACTTCTCTCTTTATTTTTTTTCACTTTTTTTTGTTGGAGAAAGTGTTTAGAGAGACTTAGACATGACTTTTGACGAATATATATGCCGGGGTGTCCGTTCGGTTCGGTTTTTGCTAAAATCGAACATGAATAGAATATATCAGTTTTTGCAAAATTAAAAAAAAAAAAAAAATATATATATATATATATATATATATATATATATGGGGTTATTTTCATACCCCTACCACCAAATAAACTAGGAAAAAACTCAAGCTCAAATCACCC